AACCTTACCAGTACAGACCCTGAGGAAATATAAAGCCATATAACGTGAAAGTGATTTGGCTGCAATGGAAGACGTATTAAAAGGCTTATTACAAGCTACTGCTGTGCAGCAAGAAACCAATCGAGCCCTGCAAGAAAGCAACCACTTACTGCAGTGGTAGAGGGACAACATGCTGAGCATTGTATACTTAAATAGAGAGTACACAGTCTCTCAAAACTTGAAAAAGAAGAGCCCAGTGGTGTTTCAAAGTCTCTCCAGACAAACCAGTGTACACAAAAGATGACTCCCCATGATGATGTGGAAGCTTACCTCCTTGCTTTTGAGAGGACTGCAGCAAGGGAACAGTGGCCCAGGGGAAAATGGGCTGGTATCCTTGCGTCCTTCCTTCTGGGAGAAGCACAAAAAGCATATACTAATCTGGGGGAAGAGGCTGCCGATGACTATGACTGTCTTAAGGCTGAGATTCTAGCCAGAATTGGTGTGACACCTGCAGTCAGGGCCCAAAGATATCACGGTTGGACATATCAGGATCAAAATGCCCCAAGAACCCAACTGTTTGACCTAATACAGTTGGCGAATAAATGGCTTATCCCAGAAAGCTCTACACCAGCACAAATAATTGAGACCCTGGTCCTGGACAAATTTCTGCAAGCTTTACCACTTGAATTACTCCAGTGGGTGGGACAGGACCATCCTACCACCTATGATGAGATGGTGACCATAGTGGAACGCTATATAGCTGTAACAGCACTAAAGGCTCCACCTCAGGCCAGAAACCAGAAGTTGAAGGTACCTAAAAAGACATGGAGGTCGGATCAATCACCACATTCTGGAAATGGAACTTTGCGTCCCAATGAACTCCGATATAGCTTCAAGGAATCCCAGACTCACAATGACCTGCAGCATCGCCCTGTTCCCATAATCTGTTTTGAGTGTGGGCAGCCTGGACATGTAAAGGCTCATGGTCCACAACTACCGGAACTAATGTGGAAATGCCACTACATACAAGACCTTTTGTGGACTTGGGTGTTTAGTGGGAGTTTCAGGAGAAACCAGTGATTTTCATGTACAGGTTATCCTAAATGGGAAAGTTGTAGAGGCTATTGTGGATTCAGGGAGTGATATCACCTTAATCGCAGGGGGTCTGCTAGAACCTGATCAATTGTTATTCAGGAAAAAAAGTGGGAGTATGTTGTATTTATGGTTCTACTGTGGAATATGCTAAGACAATAGTTGACATAACATTGCAAGGTCGGTCCGTAAGGACTGAAGCCGCAGTAGTCCCTAAGTTACCCTACCCCTTTGTGTTGGGTCGTGATTTCCCTGACTTTAGAACCTTGGTGCAGAAGCAGGTAACCCCCAAGCCATTGGAGTTGGCAAGTCACAGCCCCTGTAGTGCTTTCCCATTTACTTATCCTGACTTCTTTGTTAAAGAAAGTAAAATACGCAAGTCAAAGAGAGGAAGGAGAAATAAGTACAGGGGTACAAATCAGTTGTGTGAGTTCCTGATTAGTGATCAAGATGAGATCTCAAGCACTAGTGCTGATGCCACACCTTCAGTAGAGAAAGATGTGGAACAGCAGACTGAACACATGCACAGTTGTTTAAATTAAAGCTGTTGAGACCTCATTCTGCTTATGCCTTTGCTTATTTAGATGATCTAGTCATCTACATCCAGGATTGGGAAACCCACTTAGACAAAGTTGAAGTACTCGATACATTGAGGGTTGCAGGTCTTACTGTTAACCCTGCCAAATGTATACTAGCATGTCCAGAAGTTAAGTACTTGGGGTATACTATAGGACGAGGCATGGTCAAACCTCAAATCAATAAAATAGCTGCCATTGAAAAATGGCTGCGTCCCTTGAATAAAAAACAGGTTAGGGCTTTTCTTGGTATTGTCGGATACTGCAGGAGATTTATACCCCCATTTTGCCAACCTAGCTTCCCCCTTAACTGAGTTTACAAGAGCAAGGGGACCGGAAATCGTCCTGTTGAGCCAGGAAGCAGAAATTACATTTACGAAATTGAGGACTGCCCTGTGCTGTCATCCGGTTTTGAGAGCCCCAAACCTTAATGAGCAATTCTTTCTACAGACTGATGTTTCAGAGGTGGGTCTTGGAGCAGTATTATCACAGTATGTAGGGGGTAAGGAACATCCTGTTCTCTACCTTAGTCGTAAACTGCTTAACATGCCTAGGGAATGGAATTACGCTGTGGTAGAGAAAGAATGCCTGGCCATCAAGTGGGCTGTGGAGTCCTTGAAGTATTATTTTTTGGGTCGTTCATTTACTCTAGTGACTGACCATGCTCCTTTACAATGGATGCAGAGAAACAAGGAAAAAAATTCGAGGGTCACCCGATGGTTCCTTTCCCTTCAGCCCTATAAATTTGTAGTGAAACATAGAGCCGGCCTTCTGCATGGTAATGCAGTTGCATTGTCTAGAGTGCATAGTCTCTGTCATGGCCGCTCCACCCTGTTGTGTTTCGCTGGGGGGAAGGATATGTGGCAGTGTGAGGGAACACTGCTACATTAGCCCCAGAATGGCACTTTCAGTGTTCCCTGACTAGAGGGGGTTAAAAATCAGGTTACTTTAGTACATCAATTAGGGAGCTACATAAACCCTATGCAGAGGGAAATCAGTCTCATGTGAAGAGCTGGGTTGCAGACAGAGAGACTGTGAGTCAAAAAGACTGCTGAAACTGTGTGGGAACAAAAAGTTATTTTGCAACTTTTATTTTTATTTTGTTAAACTACTGGGGACAGCTTAGCTGCCCAGTAGCATAGAAAGGGTACTCTATGTTAGTTAGTCTCCAGTGTGGAGTAGGTGTTTATTTTGGTTTTCATGTTTTGCCATGGCTCAACTGTGGTCTGCTTGCTAAATAAAGCTTTCCTCATATTGGAAGAAAGAACTGTTACTGTTGTTTATGACCCAAGACCCGGCCAGCCTGCTACAGTATGTAAATAATTATCTATCTGTCTATCTACACACACAGACACACACACACACTGCTGTGTGTGTGAGGGTGCTGTGAGTGTGTATGTAAGGGTGCTGTGTGTAAATTTGTTTGGAGGGATTGTGTGAGGGGTAGGGGGACAGATTAGAAAATATCCCCCCCTCCCTTCTTACTTTTTGCCTGGGAGGGGGGATCCTTGCTGCCATCCCTGATCCCTGTTGGTCCTAGTGTGAGTGAACTCTAGCCTGCAAGACTAGAGTTCACTCTTGCGAGATATAAGCGTTGCCGCGGCAACGCTCCGGCCTCGTGAGAGGAACCCAGTGGAGCTGCTGGCAAGAGCTCAACAGGTCCTCTCCTGCCTGCCTCCCTGCCTGTGGGCCGGTCAGGGAAATCTTTGATCTCCCTCACCGGCCCATGGAGGCACACAGCGCGGGCCGTGTGGATTGTGGTGTGCCCAGGCACAGCCCGTGCGCACGTCTATGGTAGACACAGACAATCTCACTGACACACAAGCTCATTGATACACAGCCTCATAGACAAACAATCTCACTGATATACATAAGCTCAGTGACATAAAAACACAAGCTCACACACTAGCAGGCACACACACATGCAAGCAAGCTCATTCAATATCAGACGCACACACACACACACACACAATGTAAACACTGACTTTACAGAAGAATGGTGACACCTAGTGACACTTCTAGTGAAAGTCACTCAGGCAGTCACTAGAGTTTCTTCCTGTGTCAGTGCTGCACAGTGTGCAGCACCTACATTCAGGGCCTCCACGTTCTAGATGCGCTGAATGTTCCCCATAGAGATACATTGATTCAATGCATCTCTATGAGGAAATGCTGATTGATGTTGCATTTTGCAGCCAATCTTATGGCAGAGCATTGGATTAGCTGAGATCATCAAGCTTGATGATCTCAGCCATAGAGGCAGGGCCAGTCGAGGGGAGACCAGCACGGCGTGGAAAAAAAAAAGGGTGAGGAAAAACATTATTTTTAAACACACACAGACACGCACATATACAATGACAGACATACAGACACACACATATACCATGACAGACACACACACACATATACCATGACAGACACACACACACACCATGACAGACACACACACACACACACACACACACACCTTGACAGACACACACGCACACCATGACAGATAGGCACACACACTCACACTGACAGAATTACACATATTATCTGTGGGTGACCGGCCAGGGGGTCGTGCAGGACAGACAGCTGTCTCTGCTGGTGGCCGCAGGGGGAGCTGTGCTGTCACTCCCCAGTGCACAGCATTATGAGACTGGGGCCGGAATATGACGTCATATGTCTGCCCCGGTCTCATTAAGTAGCGCGCAAGGGCGGGGGAGCAGAGACAGCACAGCTCCCCCTGTGGCAGCCAGCACATTTCCCCCTGTGGCCGCAATCACACCCAGCTATGTTCCCGGCCCCAGGTGCTGACGGTCCACTGGGAAATCTTACGGTATCATGGTGGGCCAGTCCAGCCCTGTTTTAGATTAGGGGCCATCTTAACTGTTGTTGTGGCAGGTCTGTGTGATGTCTGTTTTTTGTATTTCAGGTAATCTTGCTGTTTTGAAGAATGGAGGAGCTGATGGAAAGGCAGTTCAGCAGAAAGGAGTTGTATGGCTTCAATCTTGTCTTGAAGACGCTCTGGACACAGCTGGGCCTTCAGCACTTCCAGATACTCATCCTGCCAGGAGAACCAGGCTGCCCCAACATTTGAGCCCTAGCGAGCAGACCGGTGGTCGGAGAAGAAAACGCCGTTCTGTGGAGTCTGGAGGGGTGGATGCAGCAGCTGGAGGGAGTCACATGACTGCAGCGAATCAAGGATGTGGCTGCGCTGCCAGGAAGTGTTCCCAGGAACGAGGCTGTCGAGAGATGTAAAGGTCGCGAATTTGTGCAGTCGGTGTTCACTGAACGTTCGTACCGCAAACAGGTCAGCAGAAAAACTACTAGCACATTTGGACCGTGAACAGGAATCTGACGAAAGTTCAGGCCATGAACAGGGACTGCCGCACATTCGGCCGCAAACAGGTACACATTAGATCTCCCGAATGGGTTGTGGAAACTGCCGAATGTTTGGTTGGTGCAGCCATGGCCACGAATTCAGCTGAATGTTCGGCCCGCAAACTCAGGACAATGGCAAGTGCTTCTGGTTCAGGAACTAAGGGGAACATGGCAGTGAACATGCGAAAGGCTCCCCCTTTGATGGTGGACTCTGCAGCAGGCATGGACTGTGCTGGGAGTGCTGCTAGGACCAGGGATGAGGAGGACGGTGTGGTAGAAAATACGGGTGAGTTGGCCACCAACGCGGTTGGTCACCTTGTTACTGGCATTAGGAATTCGCTTGGGGGGAGAGCCGGGAACACAGCTCCTAGTGGGGGGTGGCTAGCAGGACTACGGCTAGGCCCTTGCATTCTAGTGATGCAAGACACCATTCTGTTTCCCTGGTAGTCATGGGGAAGGAGCGGTTCCCCAATGTCCCCTCTTAGGCAGTACAGGGGCTACACACTCACTGTGGGTCACCACTTAGGCGAGACAGCAGGGGACAGCCTGATAGGATTTCCCCATGGGTGGGCGGTTATCGCCACACTCATTACTCAGACGTTAGGTCTCCTAAGGATGCTGATGGGCGGAACTCTAGATATCGCTCTAGGAGTGTTCTTAGGGAGCGGAGACATGGAGACCACAGGGGGTCACCTGGAGACATTGTCCAGGACCGGCACTCAGGTCCCCCCGTTCAGAGATAAGGTGACAGACACCGGGCATATTGTTCTGCTAGCCGAAGTTCTCAGGAACGGAACGCCAGAGGGCACAATCCCCGCAGGCATGGCCTACAGGGTCAGGACTCTGGATGTGAAGACGGAACTTGCTTAATCAGCCCCGGTCAGAAGATAGGGAGGTCAGGACACAATCAGATGGCCTATCCAGAATATTTTCTGTTTCTAGGTCTCCGGGACGGTGGCAATTTGAGAGGGTGAGACCACAAGAGACGAAAACATGGCAGGAGGCGCCGCTGTGACACTCGAGATGCAGCCTCACTGCATTCGGCGGCAAGAGATTTGGATGGCGAGTCAGCTACTAACCATACTTCTGGTGCTCTTTTTGACGGTTTGAAATTGTTTTTAGAATCTTGGAGTATGGGTTCAGGTAGGGGTGCAGATTTTAGTCAGGTATGGGTGCCTAGATCTGAGGGCCTAGTGGTGGTCCCAGTATTGTGGGCGAGTGGGATGACTTGGGGCATGAGAGGGCTGATCTGATTGGGGGAGTCTCAGAGCTGACACGCCAAAATATACACATTTCTTTTGCAGGACCTTTGGGCTGTCACCTCAAGCCCGAAGTAAAGGAAAGCATTTGGAAAGGGGAATTTGTGGAGAACTTTTCACTTCTCCCTTTGGAGGAGTACATTGATCTCTAGGATGAGGACAAAAAGGACAGTAAGAAGGAGGAAGAAGAGCAAAAATCCTTAAGTCATTTGATAATTGGCTTCGGGCCTTTTGCATCCTGGCCAGTGTCATGGGAGAGAAATCCCCTGAACAATCCCCAATATTTCGATGGTATTTGGGAGGAATGTAAGATGTATGGAGGCTTGGCTTGATGGTGTTATGACAAACAATTTCATCAGTGTCTCTCAGTCAATCCGGGAATGGGGTGGGATTAGATGGATCTCCCTCTTCGGATGAAACTGATGATGCTTGCAGATGGCTTTTATTCGGGGTCTGACGTGGGTCCTTCTTCCACCTCATCGGCCGCCCATAAAAAGGTTTCTGCTGGCTCTTCAATGAGGGCCAGTGCAAGTGGGGGATGTGTGGGGACTCATGGATACAACCGATACTTCAAGTGGGGTAAGTTGTTTTTGGGGACAGCAGCTGCACCCTCTGCCACTAGGCCTGTCGCCAGTGAACGTAGGCGCGATGTTGCTATGGCAATCAGGCGGATGTGATGCTGCTATGAGACGGTTTTGTTATTCCATTCAAGGAGAGGGTGGTGGTCCAGAGTCTTAGTAATTGGAAATTGTTGGGGGAATTTCCCGGTATTGTTCGGGAAAAGTTGATCAAGGAGTGTACCTGGGAAGGATGGCAGGGCCATTTGTGGAGCCTCCACTGGCAGACTTTTGGGTTTCTCCTTTGGGGGTGGTAAGTACCAGATCATACATCATTTATCGCATCTGAAGGGTTCATCAGTGAATGATGATATCGATAGAGATCTCTGTTCAGTTTCGAATGCATTATTCGACCATGCGGTCGAGTTTGTTCGGCGGGCTGATCGAGGGGCATTGATGTCAAAGGTGGACATGGAGGCAGCATTTCGTTTATTGCCAATACACCCTTATTGTCATCATCTATTGGGCTGCATCTTTGAGGGGCAGTACTTTGTGGATTTGTGCTTGCCTTGCGCATACTTCGAAATATTCAGTTCCTTCCTGGAATGGGTGATCAAGGTGGAGGTGGGCACTAGGTTCATAGTCAACTATTTAGATGATTTCCTCTATGTTGGGCCCAGCGGGTTCGAATGTGTGCCGAGTGGGTTTAAAATTTGGAATTGGTCACTCAAGTTTTCATAGTTCTCTTGACTAGTGATAAGACTGTGGGTCCCACAAGGTGTTTATCCTTTTTTGATCTAGAGATTGATTCGGTATGGGGTAAATGTGGCCTGCCTGAGAACAAGCTGATTGCTCTTTGGCAGGTGGTATCGCAGGCCAGGGGGTCCAAGAAGGTTGCATTACGGGTGCATCAGTCGTTGATTGGCCGTTTGAATTTTGCTTGCTGGGTGATTCCTGTGGCTTGGGTGTTTATCAGGTTCCTAGCTAGGGCAACGAGTGGCATTTCATTCCCGCACCATTTTATTCGGGTCTTCGTGTCCATGAGGGCTGATTTGGATGTATGGGCAGTTTTTGTAAGGGATTTCAATGGGCGGGTGTTTTTTTTTCAGGAAACAGCAGTTTCTTCCCCTGATCTGGAATTGTTCACGTATGCGTTAGGAAGTATGGGAGGTTTGGAGTTAATTTTGCAGGTCAGTGGTGTGCGGAACCATGGCCGGAGGAGTGGAAGGCCAGGCCACTCATTCGCAATCTAGCCTTTTTAGAATTTTTTTCATTGGTGGTGGCATTGGCTTTGTGGGGTCACCAGTTGAGGGACAGGAAGGTGATCTTTTTCACGGACAACATGTCTGTAGTGGATGCTGTCAATGGTCTATCTGCTTCTTCTATCCCTGTGGTTCTGCTTCTTTGCCATTTTGTCCTCTATTGCATGAAGTTTAATGTGGTTGTTAGAGCTAGACATGTACCTGGGTTGGTGAATGTTGTTGCTGATTCGCTCTCTCTCATTTTCACTGGATGAGGTTTCATTCGGGGCACTGGAGGAGGGAATTTCTTGTCCCACGAACCTTCTGCTTAACCGACTCATAAGAGGCTGGTTGGCATCATCGACGTGGGAGGGGGGTCGCTACTCTGAGGGGGCTCGTTTTGATATACTTTTGTGGTTTGTTTGTAGGCTTTTCGCTTTGGGCGCATCTCCTTCAGTGGTTAGGTGGTGCAAGCTTAGACAGTTGGGATGACATTTCATTGTTCGTCAGAAACTTTATCGTACGGGGCGGACGTCGTGAGATTCCCAGCGACCCGTGTCTTTCGATATTTTGCTAAGTTTGCTCAGCATGCTTCCAGAGGTATGCTTTTGTGTTCAGTAGCATTTAGTTAGGCCTTCTTTGGGGCGTTTCGGGTGTGTAAACTGGTTAGTGTCAATAGTTTTGGCTGTGGGGGCTTGCAAAGTTGGGAAGTTGGATTATGGGATGATCGTGTGGTGTTACATTTAGGGCATTCTAAGACTGACTTTTTTGGAAAGGGTTGCTGAGTGGTGTTATGTCTGTTGCCGGGGGTCAAGGTTTGCCCAGTGTATTCAGCTTTTGCCTTGGTCGGTACGTGCTGGGGTTCAGGATTTATTTCTGTCTCATGCCGATGGGTCTTCTTTATCCAAGTTCCAATTTCTCAAGGTCTTTCAGTTGGCTCTGGCACATGGCTGGGTTTAAAGGAGGATTTGGTTAAAAAGATCGGTAGGTGTGAGATAAATTCAGGCAGGGGTGGTTGCTATTGTACATGTGGTTAATATGTTTTCCTCGCATAGGTTGGAGTGTTTGGACTCTCATTCATGTACTGGGCATTAAGGTGGGCCGCAGTTTGTCATCATGACATACAGCTGGGCTTTCCTTGTTCAGTAGTCAGAGTTCTGTGGTTTGGTTTTGGGGTTTTAGTTGTAAGGGGGGTTTATTTTGAGTTATTTAAATGCATTAGGGAAGGTCAGGTACCAAATGTCATGTTGATTCACGCTGGGGGGGAACGACTTGGGGCTGGCCCCATAGCGTGAATTGATTACAGGGATGAAGAGGGATATGGATACTTTGAGGCAGCTTGTCCCAGGTGTAGTGGTAGTCTGGTCAGAGGTGGTTCCCAGTTTGTGGTGGCAGTATGCTAGGGATCTTGGGGCAGTGGGAAAGAGCAGAGGTAAGGTAAATAAGCTAATAGCTAACAATGTTTGGCATGTAAGGGTTGTGGTGGTGAAACATAGGCAGGGGTAAGGTAAATAAGCTAATAGCTAACTATGTTCGGCGTGTAAGGGTTGTGGTGGTGAAACATAGGTGTCACGGACAGCCACGGATGGCCAGACGTGTCCAACAGGGGATTTGAACCTGGGTACTTTGCGGTCTTGGGCCTGCTTTACTGCCTTTAAGCCACAGCAGCTCCTATTCCTCTGAGTACTTATAGCCCTGTTCTACCTGGCTATGTCTCTTTCAATAGGGGGCTGGACTTTTCTTGTGGCTGCTCCTGTCGCTTAATCCACCAGAAGCAGATGCAAAATCAGCCAGGTATAAAACACTTCCTCTCTCTGAGGGCAGTGTCCGTTCATTGACTCTGGTTCCTGTATTTGTGTTCTTGATCCAGTGTTCTCCAGACTGCTCCTGACCTTGGTTTATCCTCATTTATCCTGACCTCTGGCATCCTCTGACTTTAGCTTATCCTTGTTTATCCTGAACTCTGGCATCCTCTGCCTTTTCTTATCCTTGACTATCCTCCTGCTTTTGTCCTTGCCTATACTGCGACTTATCCTGAACAGACCCACACCCCAAGTTGCTTCTTATGTGGTCACCTTGGTCTGTGTTTATTTGCAAGGGTGAGCGTATAACTCTGCACGTCGGACTCCACATCAGGTAAGATCCTGACAATAGGGATTTAGAAGCTAAGCTTCCGGGATACTGGTGTTCATCTCTTGGATGTCCGTACGGACTTTTTGTTACTAGGCTATTAGGATGGTATTAGGGTATTAGGATGGACACCATAAGCACCGTAGAACCCAAGGACCGCCGCAGCTTGGTTGGGGTCTCGCCGTCCCTTCCCACCCTCGACCAAGCTCCTGGATCCAGGGACTCAGTGGGAAGGCCTCTCCTCCAAGAGAATATAGCTGTAAAGCTCTTACAAGAGCTAGTGGTATAGCTGTATAGCGGTTCCCTACAATCACGAGATGAGGCTACGTGTTGAGGGTTAAGCAGGCCACACTGGCCTTTTATGACAATCCCTGTGCAAAGGGTACGCTCACATGGACCTTGTTGGGGACTCCAACACAAAGACACAGACAAATAGGAACAGTGATTAAATGTTCGATACCCCCATAAGAAACATACAATCCCTGCTCTCTGCCTGGGAGATAATTGAGTCAGATACTGTATCAATTCAATTATCTCCATGCAGAAAAAACACATTTCTAAAAAGTCCCAAAAGTACCCCAAAACTCATAATGGCCCCACAAATAATACATCCACTGATAGCCCTGATATGGGTGACCAACATATCCAAAAAGTTTATGGAAGTCATGTATTTGACTGACCGC